CCTAGGCCTAGTAAACAACAATGGCAACTACAACAACAAAAAAAAGCCAAGCATTATGGCAGGCCCCTATAGTCCCAGCTACTTGGGAGGTTGAGGCAAAAGAATCATTTCAGCCCAAAAGTTTGAGGTTGCTATGAGCTATGATACAATGACACTCTACCGAAGGCGACAGTGAAAGTCTGTCTCAAAAAAAAAAGAAAGAAAGAAATGGAGGTCTTCCTATGTTGCCTAGGCTAGTCTCAAACTCATTAGCTCAAGTGATTCTCCTGTCTCAGCCTCCCAAGTAGCTGAGATTACAGGTGTGAGCCACTGCACCCAGTTCTTACACACTTTTAATTGGATTAGTCCCTGGGTATTTGTTGCTATTTCTGTTTGTTCCTGGGTGTATTGCCATATGCCTTGTTGCTGGCCACAGAATTTTGTATTTTGATGTTTTTTTTCTTGAGAGAGAGTCTCACTATGTCACCCGTATTAGAGTGTCATGGCACGACAGCTCACAGCAACCTCAAACTCTTGGGCTCAAGCGATTCTCTTGCCTCAGCCTCCCAAGTAGCTGGGACTACAGGAGCCCGCCACAATGCCTGGCTGTTTTTTTGTTGCAGTTGTCGTTGTTTAGCAGACCCAGTCCGGGTTCGAATCCGGTGTATGTGGCCGGTGCCATAACCACTCAACTAAGAGTGCTAAGCCTGTATTTTGATTTTTATCTGGTAACTTTGTGACATTTTCTTTTAATCATAATTTGTTTGCAGATGCTTTTTTTTTTCTTTTGCAGTTTTTGGCTGGGGCCAGGTTTGAACCCGCCACCTGTGGTATATGGGGCCAGCGCCCTACTCCTTTGAGCCACAGGCACCACCCCTTTTTGATTTTTTAAATGTATATAACACCTCATCTGAGAATGAAGTCTTTTGGGTTATGCTTCTTTCACCTCAGCAAAATACATTCAGGTTACATAGGTATTTGCTTTATTATTCCTAATGTGTGCATATGGAAGGAGAAGGATCTTTTTTTTTTTTTTTTTTTTGTAGAGACAGTCTCACTATGTTGCCCTCGGTAGAGTGCTGTGGCATCACACAGCTCACAGCAACTTCCAACTCCTGGGCTTAGGCGATTCTCTTGCCTCAGCCTCCGGAGTAGCTGGGACTATAGGTGCCTGCCACAATGCCCGCCTATTTTTTTTGTTACAGTTTGGCCAAGGCCAGGTTCAAACCTGGCACCTTACCAACTAAGCCACAGGCGCCACCCAGGATCTCCTTTTTTTTAATGTATTTTGTTTGAAATTCATTAGATTCTTTAATCTCTGAATTGTTGGTCATTGTCTTTTCACATACTCCTTCTTCTTTACCTTTTTTTTTTTTTGGATAAAGAGTCTTATTTTGTCACCCTCGGTAGAGTGCTGTAATGTCACAGCGCACAGCAATTTAAAACTCTTGGACTTAAGCGATTCTCTTGCCTCAGCCTCCCAAGTGCTGGTACTACAGGCGCCCACCACAATGCCCAGGTTGAGCCTACCTCATCTTTTTTAAGACTTCAGTTAGACAAATATTACACCTTCTTGTTCTACTTGCGTGTCTTTTTTGTTTTGTTTTGTTTTGTTTTGTTTGAGACTTGATCTGTCACCCTGGGTAGAATGCAGTGGCATCATTGTAGCTCACTATAACCTCAAATTCCTGGGCTTGCCATCCTCCTGCCTTAGCCTCCCTAGTAGCTAGGACTACAGGCACATACCATAATGCTCTGCTAACTTTTCTATTTTTAGTAGAATCAGTGTTTTGCTCTTGTTCAGGCTAGTCTTGAACTCCTGAGCTCAAGAGATTTTTTTACCTGGGCTTCCTAGAGTGCTAGGATTACAAACGTATTCTGCCATGTTTTAATTTTCTAATTACATAGGCTCGGCGCCTGTAGGTCAGTGGCTAGGGCGCCAGCCACATACACCAGAGCTGGTGGGTTCGAATCCAGCCCAGGCCTGCCAAACAACAATGACAACTACAACCAAAAAATAGCTGGGCATTGTGGCAGATGTCTGTAGTCCCAGCTACTTGGGAGGCTGAGACAAGAGAATCTCTTAAGACCAAGAGTTTGAGTTTGCTGTGAGCAGCACTCTACCCAGGGTGACAGCTTGAGACTCTCTCAAAGAAAAAAAATTAATTTTCTAATTACATAAAATAAAACATCAGCATAGTCCCACAGAACTCTACAAAACAAGGTGCTTTCAGAGAAATTTAGTTTCTTTCTTGTTCCCTCAAAAA